ATTTTTTCTGTGTTTTTTTTGTTTTGTTTTTTTTGTGTCCCCCCCCCCCCCCCCCAATTGGTATCCCAGTATACTGTATATTTTGACCCTCGTTAGAAAGACTTCTAAGACCAGGATTTAGGAAAGGGCAAAGTCTGAACTGCCACCTCATTCTCTCAGTATTGTCATTCTTTTTCCATACTTAAAAGCTGAGAATGATCAAGAATTTCCTGTACTGCATTTCAGTGTTGGGTTACACAGCATGTCTAATCACTATCCAATGTCTCTTCTGGATAACAGAACCTTGTCAATAGCTTCTTCACCTATCTATATCTGCTTAGAAAACTCAAATAAAAGCTGTCCTGAGTTGAGTCCTGTTGGCTTATGTTGTCAGCTGATTTGAAAATGAGTATGCACTTCAGTGATAAGGTGCAGCACAGGACTCTGTTATTTGTTTCAGCGTAAGCTGGTTCTGATTACTGGTTTATCAAAATCTGCAGGATTGGCTAATTGAAGGATATCAACTTGAAACTTATTTTCAGTGGAAACTTGTACCTACCAGAATTTTCCCTGCTCTTTTCTGACAGTCATGTGGCCTGTGGTGCTTTTCTTACTGCTCTTACAAGGAAACAAATGATTCTCGGTAGAAAGACTGAGAAACTGAGCTGACTAGTCTCTGGAGCACCTCTAAGCTGCCCGTCTTGGTTTACTGAATTGTCCTCTATGGCTGTGTTGAGGAGTGTGGTAAGCTGGAGCAAAGGCCAGGGACTCTGTAGACAAATAAATTCCAAGATACTTTTGCTTTAAGTGAAGGGCAAGTTACTTGTTTTCCATACTGATCTGACAGCACCACAAATACTGTGTTTTAAGGACAATGGTCAAGTGCCATCTCTGGTTCTTAGTGGTCTTGGGGAATAGGTTTCTCTAAGGAATGGTGGAATAAACAGTGATAAAGACATAAAAGATATCCTGGGTTATTTTTGGGTTTCTGGCTTGTGATATGTTGTATGTGCTGGATGAACTTAAGTGTCATTAAGGCATGCAAAATTCAAGGAAAATGTCCCAAAGATGCCATTTGACTGGGTGCGAGAGTTCTCATCCTTGACCTGATACCTGAATTCAGCAAATAGTGCTTGTACTAACTGCTTTGGATGCTTTGTTCCAGTCCTGTACCCCTCTGGTTTTGTTGCTCTGGGTATTATTAGGACTGGAGATGCAGAGATCACATATTAGTCATAGACTGTTTTTTAACTCTCAGATATTTTTCTGAATGGGGAAAAAACCCCAAAAACCTGTATTGCATGTGAAAGTGAATTGGTGTAGGGACAAAAATTACTTTTAAGAAAAGGTTATAGAAAACTGTTTAGTTTCTGCATCTTAAGGAAACTCTTTGCTGTAACAGTGGTCATTTCCAGCAAAAACAAAAAGCCATGGGTGTGTGATTGAGTGCTACTGTAATTTATTTTAGCAAAGCATTGAATTCTGTATTTTTGGGGGGACTTACGAGTTACATTGGAAGAGCTTCATCCAGGTATTTTATTTGTATGAAGCTTACCAAGGCTGTTGTAGTTTCTGAAGGGTATGAGGAGATGCTGAGAACCTGGAATCCTGTATTAAAACCTTAGTAACAGGTGTGCTACTGCTTTGTGGCTTGCCTTCATGTCTGTGTTAAGCTGACTCATTTATTCTTACAGGAAGACTTCTACCACTCATTCCTGAAAGCAAGTGGAGGAAACAGCTGCCCCGACTGATTTCTTACTAGAGAATGTATTGGAGTGGTGGAAGAAGCTTAAAAACCTTTGAAATGGTTCAATTCTTTTAAAAGCCATAATAGTATTCAAAACATTTGTGTTGATGTGGTGCAACACCATTTAGAGGCACAAGGCACCAGTGAATTCTTTAAGGAATATGATGTTTTGTGGAGAGGGAGGAAGTACAGGGCATCTGATCTTGATTTCAGATGCAGGGTTCTGTAATGTGGAGTAAAATGGGTCACTATCTCTTCCTGCAAGTACCTCATTCCAAAAAAAAACAAAACGAAACAAAAAATAGAAGGGAGAAGAACATTTTGTTTGTGTACATGCTCACTGTACTCATCAGCTTGCTCTGAAGCATAAACTGTTTGCCCTGTAAATTGTTTAAAAATTCTTGGTTTGCAAATCAGTGCGCTAATGGGTGAACAACGTTCTTGTCTTGTAGTGGTAATACTGAGCAATTTACAAGTGCTGGGTCCTTAAAATGTTTTGGCTCTACGAGTTGCTTCATTCTGCTGTAAGATGGCAGTAGATCTTATATGTGTAATATGGGTTGCCTGGTAGGTGCAATATTAGCAGATCACATATCATTACAGGATAAGAAAAGGTCAAATATAAAGAAATCTCTAATGTACTTTATGTCAGTGACTATCTAAAATACGGATAACAGTCATAAACCTTATCTTTTCCATAGGCATGTTATAGACTAGTAAGACTTGAAAGATTTTGGAGAGCAATGGAGGCTTAGTGGCAACTTAGTGACTACTGCAGTGATGACGATGGTTTTCTTTATCTGTGTGTTTTTATCTTCTGCATCCTTAGGTGATGTTACAGCTCAAGTGTCACTTCAGCCTGCAGTGAAATTCAATGGTGGAGGTCATATCAATCACACCATCTTCTGGACAAACCTTTCTCCTACTGGCGGAGGAGAGCCTAAAGGTTAGTGCTTGTTGTGATGGTTTATTGCATCAATTTTAATTGACCAGTAGAACTGATGATCTTTTCTCTCTTTGAAAGAGTCTGAAGGATCTTTGTTTTTCAGAGTTAATTTGCCCGTCTATCTGACAATTATCACAGTCTTGAGGAATTCAGCATTTTTCAGATGCAAGCCAAGAATATAAAAAGCTAGCCCTGGGCTAAGTATTTTTGATTTCTAAATCATCATGTACACTGCAAAATACTTGGCTATTGCTGCATATTCCATCTTCATATGAGAAAATAGTTTTCGAAAGCTATGCTAATTAAGTTGCCATATATGTACTCGATGCACAGAAAAGGAAGAAATGTGCTGCAGACCACCCAACCTAGTGACTGGATTTATGCTCCAATTTGAAATAGGGATAGTTTAGCAGTTAAAGCCTAAAGGAAGAAATCCCCTTTGGGAGGATAGAGTAGTGATTATCTACAAGTGACCTGCAGTGAAAGGCAAAGGCCCTGTAATACAGATCTCACAAAAGCTGTTGTGGTAAACGTGAGGGTTTTTGAATGAGGTTTACATGCCTGCCTGTAAATTGGTGGGGTTCAGGTGCTTTGTACTCCAGTTCAGCATTCATAGGTGACATCTGCTTGTGACTTTTGACTCTACTATGAAGTACAAAGATGCTCTGAAGATGATCTAGTTAAGACTAGAGCATAAAGTTTTGAAGCTTTGAAACTGAAATTTCAACAAGCAGTTCTGATATCAGTCCATTTCTCATAGAACTTGTTTTTAGATGACATTCTCAGAAAAGATGCTTTAAAGCCTTGATTTTTGTCTCCCAATTTTTGTGAAGCTTCTGTGGAAGTCAGTAAGCCTAAAATGTCATCTTTCAGTTTCAACTGAATGGTTCAAGGCTTTTGTAGGAAGCCTGCTAAAGCCTGTCTTAAGATGCACTTGCAGCTATCGCCAAGAGATTTTCAAGACCATCTGTCTGAAGGTGGAAGGGATGAAGAATGAAGAATTCTCCAGCATTGCACTGTATGAAGTATTCTTACACATGCTAATTAGAAAGCTAATTAGAGAGGAGCATAGATGCCTTCTGGTTTTGAGCAAACACTTAAATATCTGAAAACCACAAGTGTGCTAGGGTGTAGGGGAAAGGAATTAGTTAGATAGTTCATTGTTACACTAAACAATTCTGGTTTCTGTTCCCTTTGCCCTAGCACAGGTTAGCTTAACTGTATAATAGAGAAGTGATCTAATCATGGAGCCTGCTTATCCATATCAAATAGACTACTTGACTGTAGAAGCAGAAGTAAATCTAAAATCTGAGGGAAGTGGTTAAATACCTTTTACTACGTGTAGGTTCGTTATATTGGTATCAAAGGTGTCCAAATGTTTCTTTGTATTAAGACAAAGAAATCACAGCCACTTAGTGTTGCCCTTTTAGATATGCAAACTAGCTCTTTACCTTCTTTCCTAGTCCTCCTCTGTGGTGTTCCCTTTCCTTTTAGACAAGAATGTAAACGCCTGAGTGTCCTGCTGATAGCACCCTGGCTGTGTCTTTGAAGACAGCATCTTTGACTACTGCACTAATTTCTTTCCAGTCTGCTTGACCCCTTAAGCAGGTTGGGACAGAGCTGATTAATGATGCAACTACTCTCTTTCTCTAGACACTTCCTACAGAGCCCAAATGCTTCTGCTGCTCTTTCCTTCTATTTCCAGGTGATATCTGGAAATTGAAAAATGTTAAGCACCTGACATTCTGTGATCTGTCTGTGTTTTTTTTTAAAGGGGAATTGATGGAAGCCATCAAGCGTGACTTTGGTTCCTTCGCAAACTTCAAGGAGAAGCTGACAGCCGTATCAGTTGGTGTTCAAGGATCGGGCTGGGGATGGCTTGGCTATAACAAAGAGCAGGGGCGCCTACAAATAGCAGCTTGTGCAAATCAAGACCCTTTGCAAGGAACAACAGGTCAGGTTTCTTTCCTTCCCCTCTGCTTCTCTCTTTGTAGATTTCACAGGCAGGTGTATGAGATCTGAAAAGGGGTTTGTGGATAAATACTGAGAAGAAATTGCTGGATAAATAGGGCTGGAAAACTGAATATGACTACTACCAGAAGTGAAAAAGAGTTGCAGTTTTTAAAACAGCATTTGTAAAGCAGGACTTAAAAACCGTGAAGAGCAGTAGGGTTTAAAGTCTGTCTAGTCAAAGGGGAAATAGATGGGGCATATTGTGAAAGTGCTCTCTCTTAGACAGTAGTTTTAGCTTAAGCTCCTTTGGATTATTTTTGAGTAACTGGAGTAGCTTGCGTGTATCAAGGAAGATTAAGCCTCTTGCCTTCAGATTGTTTTCTCTGGCAGAGGAGCTATTCACAGAACTGTCAGTGTAGGCCAGGCAACAGGAGAGGGGAAGGTGTACAGAGTAACTCTTGTCACTATGTAGGCTGGGTTTAAAATGGAAGGCTTATAACCTGCTTCATTAATATTGGTAAAGAGTAATGAGTGTCAATTAAATAAGCCTTGGATGGGGATAAATCTTACAGCTAGGCAAGCAAAGTAATACTGACCATGACCACTGTTGAAGATTATTTTTACTTGCTTAGAGTGACCTGGCATTGATGATGGCAGGCTGGACACCCCTCGACAGAGGGAAGAGGTCATGGCCAGTGAGAATCCTGCCCACAGTCGCTGTTTGTCCAGATCCTATTGCAGATATCTTTGAAACATGTTCTGCAGAATTCATAGAGAATGACAAGGAATTGTCAGCAGTCTGTGTGTTGCTTCTCAGTAGGAAGAAAAAAAAAAAAAAAGAATAATTTTATTATAGGGACATAGAGCATAATGTGGGTAAATTTCACCCCTCTCCCCCCAATGAAAACTCCCCATTAAGAATTCAGTGAGAAGGATATTTTAGCAGAAAAGCAAGGAAAGTAATTAGACAATTAATAACTTGTGATTAAAATATTAGAAGCAAACTGGCATGGCAAGAGACTCCTTCATGGTGTAACTTTTCATGAAAATGCTTGCATAACTGTGCAAAAGATGTAAACCTTTCAAAAATTACTGTATCTCATTTCAGTTATGTCTTCAAGGCAGTTCTAGAGTATTCATAGGTGTTTATCTTAACCAGCTCTTCTGGTTTATGCATGATGTGTGTGTGTGGAGAGCAAACACTTCTGTAAAATGTTGCAATAAGCACCTATGTGCTGGAGAACTCTGTCTTCCTGCAGATAAAGACTCAGAAATTGGGTACAACTTCAGGATGCAATATAAGACTTTACATGTAAAGCATGTTTTCACAGATTTACAAAATTTACCCTCCTTTTTTTTTTTTTTTTTTTACAGGTCTCATTCCTTTGCTAGGAATCGATGTATGGGAACATGCTTATTACCTTCAGTATAAAAATGTTCGACCTGATTATTTGAAAGCCATCTGGAATGTGATCAACTGGGAGAATGTATCTTCAAGATACGCAACTTGCAAAAAGTAGAGTGGAATTCTTGCACAGACTACTAAAGCGTCACCACTTCTACTCTGATACCACTCTTGTAGTAGTGTCTGTGGCTTACAAATGAATTGCTCTACTGCAGAAAACACTTAGCTCATCCAACAAAAGCATTTCATAATCAAGCAAAGTGTCTGCTTGTTTAATTCTGTGAGAGCTATTTACTTAGATTTTTGAAGCTTTAAACTGTTGTGCAATGAAGGGAGACACTTTAAATAATCTTTTCCATTGCATATAGAAACAAATCACCTTGCTGAAGCTTATTGAGGTAATGGATTTCCTTGTTGCACTAAAATACCTAAGTGGAAACGTGTAGTTCATGTTGCTATAAAGAAATAAAACTCAAAAGAAGAATCTTGTATGACTGTCTATAAGAGACTCATTTTTAGTAACAGCTGGTCCAGTTACTTACTTGATTTGAAAATGGTTGGAGAAGAGAAACGCCTTTTGCAGTTTGTTGTACTACAAGGTATGGAGCTTTCGTACAAATTAAAAAGATAGGTGAAAGGGGAAATAGGCGTGGCTGTGCCTGCCTGACTTGACTGTCTTTGGTCATCCTTACCTTTTCCTGGATCTCTTAAGGGAGAGCTTCATGTATTGCACTGATGCACTAGCTTTTGAGGTGTTACCTCGGGCAAGAGATTACAGTACTGGGTCAGGCGACATTGTTCATATAGGAACTGAATGACAGCATGTGATACTCATTCCGTGCTAGCTGTTCAAGTATATCCTAAAACATCCTTTAACTTAAGAGACTGATCATCTGTATATATCAAGTATAAATTGTCTCTGCGTAGCTGTGTTCCTGAAGCAGTTATAACACATTAAGCTTAATGCTTGACGCGGGAATGAAGTACTGTCTGGTGTAAAGGAGCATGCCCAAAAGGTCTTGAAAAATACAAGAAATTGTTGGTGTGTTTTGGTTTTTTGCTAATTCTGTTGCAAGTATTTCAGAGTGGATGCTACTGGACATACATAGTACCTTGCACATAAGTTTTCTTTGAGCTATCTTAGCATGCTTCTTTAAGTTCAGGATAGATTCTCAGGGAAACAAGGAATAGGCTTACATTACCATACTGCTAGGCTGCTGTTTTGAAGTATCAAGTAAGATTAAGGGGAGAAGTGTTTATAAAGAAGGAAATGCCTTGCATTAGCAGGTGCAGGGAGAGAAACTGCCACCACCATAGGAACAGTCTTTAGTCACTAACCAGAGCCGCAACTGGTGAGATATCTATGTTGCAAATGAGAGCGAGTTATGCAAACATGGCTTATTTCACATTTAAAGTGGTTGGGGTTTTTTTGTTGTTTGGTGGTTTTTTTTCTCCCCCCCCCCGGGATATTTTTTCTCTAGGCCTAGTTCTCATCTCATATGCAGCTTGAGCTTCTGCTTAAGTCTGGATTGCTTCATAGTCTTGTTTAAAACTTGTATCATCATCCCTCACATCCTTGGTTTACCTCTTGAGGGTGTGAGAGCAGTGAAGAAGAAAAGTAAGTCTATTGGTAATCAGTCTGGCAGCTTTTGACGTGAGTTTAAAAAAAAAAAAAAAGCCTACCGAAGGGTCTGTATTCTTGCTGTCTGCAGAACCCTCTAAGTCTGGAGAGCTGGTGAACGAAGGCTCTGTCACGATCTATGCTCAGCTTTTCTTCTTAGAGAGGAAGCCTGAGTCTCCACGAGTAAACGCTAGCATCACATAGATTTTTCCCTGACAGAAGCTTCTGGCAGAAAGAATTATACTTTCTAGGTGGCAATTCAAAATTAAATCTTTGCTGTACTTATTTACTGGGGTGATCTGTTTATTTTGAAACCCATCTTCCTAACTTAATGTTCCCAGCCTCCATCCTTGTGTGTTTCCTTCTAAGCACTTCAGAATGCTTAAATTAATGCAAACTACATCAGGTAGCCCACAATATTCCTGTTGCAAGACTGTTGAGGCACATCCTTTTTAAGGACTTAATATTAGTTATAGATTTGATTAATATTGTTGATAATTATTGGAGAAAGGACCAGTATTTATCATAACTTGTAAGTCACGTGTAGCTAGCTATAGATATAAAGCTTAATTTAAGCAAGTTGCGTTGGTATCTGGATTAGTAAAGGCCAATACTTAGGTTTTAGTTCTCAGACTTCAGCGTACTGAAATGCTGCAGATAAGGTGGATTGAGTGGGGGTGAAGCAGTGGCATTTTTTTAGAGGAGGAGCAGGTGCTTCAGATATGAAGAGAATCTTTTGCCTCTTACTTTCCAGAAGTACCTCCAAAGTACAGAGGAGGCATGTTGTGTCTACCATGGAGTCTGCCTGAAGACGAAGGAAACAGCGGAGTCCTTTTTTCTTCCCTTATTGAAGACTATATGATATGGTGAAATACCATATAGCAGAGATCAAAACCCCCCAGTGGAGCGCTTCTCCTCAGTGAGTGGACGCTGAGGCAGGGCTTTGTTGGTGAGTGCCATAGCGTGTATCTCGGGCACCTTGGTGCTGTGTGCTCTTAACGAACAGAGAGGTCAACGTGCCTGTACACTGGTGCTCTGGAAGGGAGTGCTTAAGCTGTGGAGGAGGCCTGAGTTACGCCGAGTTAAGGCGCTGAGGAGGTAAGCCATGGAGAGCTCCTCAAGCAGGACCGGCTCTTGCCGAGGCTTTGAAGCCAGTAGTGTTAGACCCAACAGATGCTGGTAAGGCTCCATTTCTGCAGTGCACCAGGTTAAGAAGAGGCTCCACTGATCTCCTGCTTACAGTCAGCTGGTGAACTTGTCCCGATCGATGCCTTGTGTCCTGTCTTTAAGTCTGAATGTAAAAAGTCCAAAGCTGTATACAAACAGGAATGTTTGTGGAATTGGAAGACGAAAATTTACTAAATGTTGAAGGCAAATAGTAGGAATGCTGAAGCAATGAAAATGATTTAATGCTTCTTCTGGTGGACAGTTACAAAGGACAAACAAAGGTTAGCTGTGTGGTTTGAAGGAAGGGCTTGGTTAAAGTGTCTTAACTCCAAACTTCTGTGAAATCTGGAAAAAGTCCTAGTGGTTTTTGTGACACTAGGAACTGAAGTGCGTGGCTGTAATTTAGCAAGTCTGCTAGCAAAGCTGTCAACTGTTCTGGGCAGTGAAAGTGCATAAACCTCTTAGTAATCTGTGTCAGACAGTAAACTTGGAACCGCTGTTGCTATTCAGAGCTAGCGCTTTGCATGACAGAAGTTGCTGTGGAGGTGGGCGGGTGTGTCTCGCCCCACACGAACCGAGGAACGGGGA